TCACACCCGCTAGAAAATGAAAAGGTTATGAAGACAATGAGTCGATTATCACGCAAAGATAGCTTAGCGTTTAAAGAAAGAAACTTAGGGTATACTGTAATCGATGTTGAAGTGAAAATCAAACCTTTCAAAAGGGTAAACACTAAGGCCTGATGCTCCCTATCAAAAAAATAATAACACTTTTCATTTTTCATGTTCAATTACATCACTAGTGATAAAAATATAACGTACAAAACCGAAATACTGTGTACTTATTGACCGAGTGGTAGGACCGGACGGAAAAAAATATTTGGCTCTGGGTCTTAACCGACCGACTGAGCGCAGCGAGGTACTTGCTTTGTGATTGAGAGCCAAATATTTTCCTGTGCGGCGAAACCAAACTCAGAATTTTACCATATGACCACAAGCTGTTGAAAATTTCAACCTAAATAGGACGCGATAGAAGGGCATACGAGCTCAAAAAAAGAAATTCTGCGATTAAAAATTTTCCTTTTCATTTCGATTAGCCCAGAGAGGGGAAGGGAATAACCTAAACACACGTGATCTGGATACCTAAAACACTGCGACAGCGGAGGTTCGGAAGGTTGGGAAAAGTCCTGAGTGTAATTCGTTATTTTTGTTGTTTCATTTTCAAAGCATCAGCCACATTGTCAACAGCTTGGTAAGTGCGATTGAAAATCTTTTCTAGTCACTCGGTTTTTATCAGCTTTAGTTATTTAGTAACTGTGCAGAGGTAAGGCTCTTATGGCAAAGCCCAGTAACTGCTTTATCTTTTTGTTTGCAATATGTATACGTTTCGGTCGTTAACCCTTCATTATAGAGGTTGATGGCGCGATTGAATTGCCATCACAGTGAAATAAATTTGTTCTACGGCGACTTTTTCAAATCTCTGTGGCTTTGTACCGTATAATTTATCCTCATTGACTGAGGTTATTGAGCATCGTATAATTGAGAAATTGATGATCATAAAACTAAATTTAGACCTCCTTCGCTGATATCATTGGAAATCCGTGGTGCTTTGTAGTGTGGTTTTCCAGTGGCTATGATTTGCATTAGCTACTAACTTGACTTTGTTTCAAGAGAGTTCAACGAACGTTTCAGAGATTGCGGTAGATTCGAATTGAATTTCTGTTTTTTACTAGTACGCAAGCGTTTCATGGTCGAGATGCCTTTCACCCATTTCCAACCTTGATGCAACGCGCGCCGCGACCCAATTTCCTGTAACACGAAATTCCCAGATCACTGAAAACCTTCTAAAATCGTCTTTCTCAAGAGCCATCCTGGACATATAGTCAACTGCTTCACGGTAAATACATTCGCTGTTCGTCATTTTACATTTTCCTTACAGTATTTTGAATTTTGTCCGGAAGAATCCGAAGAAAATTTTTTACGTGTCACGCTTGGATCTCTTCGTATTCTGTGAACAGAGTCGGCGAAAAGGACACCGTTCAAATTTTTTCACTCTCTGGAAGCGTTTGAGGATTCTAAATGAAGATAAAATATTTACAATAGAAATTGGTATTTTTCAAAGAGAAATATGGAAAAATATCAGACTACTGGACTTTTAGTTATTCGAAGACCGTGTCCGGTGAAAATTTTCTTAGTGTCACGCTTGGATCTCTTCGCACTCTGTGTACAAGTTCAGCGAAACGGACAACGTTGGCATTTTTTCACTTTCTAGAAGCGCTTGAGGATTGTAAATGAAGGTAGAATATTTTCCAACGAAAAATTGTCATATTTCAGAGAGAAATATAGAGTTATTTGAGGACCGTGTCCAGCCGTGTCATTGAAAAGTTTTTAAGAGTCAAGCGTTTGGATGGCCTCGTACTCTGTATACAGGGTTAGCGAAAAACATAAAGTTCAAAAATTTTAGGTTACTTGGAAGCGCTTGAGGATTGTAAATAAAGGTAGAGCATTTTCATATAAATATTTTTTGGATTTCGAAGAGAAATATGGAAAAAATATCGGACTGCCGAACGTTTAAGTTTAGTCACTCGTTTCATTGCAGGAACGTCAGCGACAGTTTGAGTTACAATTTTCATTTGCTGCTTTGCATTGACAACAACCACGAACACTCTTTCGAGCGCAAGCTCCTCTTCAAGAGTAGAAAACTTCAACTAACCCTTGGTCCTATTTAACAAGGATGGCAAACTTCGATTAAAAAAATTGATGAATGGATGAAAACGTGGTGGATCAACATTTTCACCTTCTTCGAAATACTCGCGAGGATTTTCGTGTTCCTCGTTAGCCACAACCGATCCATAAGCGTTTACTGCCTCGGAATCTACAAAGTCAATGGATTCATCTGATTCCATGCCGGATTAAAACGTATAGAACTTTTTAAACAGAATTATTTTGAAACGCTCTTCAAATTCATCGGAGAAAACGCAGAAGGTATTTTGAGACAACGTGACAAGGTAAAAATAACTGACCAATCAGAGGCGCTATTTAAACAAGAGCGGTGGTCAAAACAAAAACAAACGACCGCGTTGCATCAAGGTTGGAAATGGGCCTTTACATCTTTGGATACTAAAGGCGGGTTCTACGGTGCATATTTTCCTAAAGGCCGTTATCTGTATCTTTTTCTGTTAAAGCGCCAGAGTGTCGCATAAGAAAATAGGTCATGACGCTGCACGCTCACGAACAGAGATGTCTTTAATTTTCTCAGAGAAACTGAAACTAATAATCCTTTTTTGACGGATAATTGATAAAAACTTCCCTAATGCGACCCAGGCCTTACTTAAATTTACTGTAATTGCATACATAGTATCAGCGCACTTTTCCTTTGAACGCATGCTTCATATCTCCACCGTTAAATTGCTTTCTTCAAACCCTTACGGTTTTTTATACAATATATTTCAACCTCCTTAGCTAAGCTTGTAAAATATTGTTTAATTTGAGAAACTGATGGTTTCGACAATCACCGGTGAACAAAAACTTAACTCAATCATATATTAAGACATATTTATGACGTGGACCGTCCTTTACTGATGTCAAAGGATATTCGCGGTGTTACAGTGAAGAAATGTAAAATGGTTTCCGTGTTTACATCAGGCTATGTAAACACGGAAACCATTTTACATTTCTTTTATAAAATAACTAATGAAAGAGGAACGAAAACCGTGTTTACATACGCTCATGTAAAATAGTTTTATGGCCAATCAGAGCGCGCGTACTATTTGAATTATTTTATAGTTCGTGGTTTTCCAGTGTCCATAATTGTTATTAGTAATTCACGTGTCCTTGTACGCTTTTTGTGAAAGTACCAAGGTCTCGCATGAGAAGAATTGTCAGTCTATGACACAGTTAGCTCACAGAGAAATATGTTATAATTCTCTGTGAGGAAGTGAAGGAACATAAGTGATCACTACGATTACTTTTCCAGCTGCAAATAGTTTACGAAGCTCAGCCGTTAAAATGGTTGAGAAGCTTTGTTGGGCTTTCAAATGAACTCAAATACACATTCGCTCTGAAATCTAAATATTTTGTCATTGCTTTTTCACAAACTCAGTTAGATGCCTGCATAAATGTGGGAGAAAGGAGATTACAATCTTTTTACTTCCATCAAGTCATTAGACAAACTAATTAGAATACTGGTAAATTAAAACCAAAACGTTTATGTATCTTTTTAACGGTCAAAAACGTACAGAACAGTACTTTGTGGTTTTAACGTTAGGCAAGATGTTTTTAACGGAAGAGTGCCGACTGTTTTTCATTGTTTTTGACGTTTCACTTTCTTAAGCATGAGTTGCTAGATCAATAATTCTGCATTTTTTTTTGGAGTAACTTTACCGTAACTTAAGCTTTAACTTTACGGTTGTGGTATTCGTAAATTCTTAGTCACAACGGCTGAAATGAGTGCTTATTTGTCCTGTTCTGTCCTCTGACTATAAATTCATGTCATGTTCTGCAAATATTGTCACCGGAGTGAGATGAATTCGTCGCAAAGCCGGACTTCGTCAAACCTCTGTGGCATCATATCTTGTCCAACATTCTAATCAGCTAAGAACAGATATGTTTTCAGGGACATTCATCTGATAAGTAAGCTCGTTATTTGCTAATAGCTTGCTACGAAAATATTTTCAAATGTTCCATGCTATACTGCAGAACGTCAGGAAAATTTTCCAGAAAGTTGCAGTAAAAGGTTTTTCTCTTGTTAGCCTAAGAATTGAAACGCTTAAAACTCGACTGCATGTAGCTTGATCTCAAGAGGCTTCATTGTAAATACGGCCGGTAGAAATGCAGATGGAGAACGAAGCATTATAAAAATTATTGATATTGCGGAACACTTTTTGCTGCTTTCTTTGCGGAGTACTGGCAATAAAACATCATTTATTCCACAAGATTATCAAATGAGGGGCCAACGCTCGAAACTTTAGCTTCAGAAACTCATATACATTGTCAACTCAGTTGGTAAAGCCAAATTATATTTTTGTAACATCTCACCAAAGTTTCTTTAGAAACTTACCTCGTTGAATAATATTGTTTATAGAAAATATGCATGGAGAAAGTTCTCTTGGAAAAAGTTAAGAGAAATAGTGTTCAGTTTATCTTTTTCCTGTGACTTTTAAGTCATGTCATGTCGCAACTGAAGTAAACTGAAAGATGACAAAGCGAGTTTATCACACGACCATTAGTCAAACTCCAGCGCAGGGCCTTGATCAAAAGTAACTTGGATAACTGTTGTCTTTCACAGCGTGATAGTCACAGTCTGTTATCATTAAGAACTGCGCAGGTCAGATTAATTTTAGAAGTTTCACCGAATGTGATTCGTTAATGTGCTTCAGTTGTACTTATCCACGCCTCTTCTTCACCTATTTTTTGTTATGTCATTATTGTGAATTCTAACACTTTCAACTCGCTACAAAAGTTTCTAGGTATAATCGACCCAGCCCGTTTTTGTAACTTCACATATGAGTTCCTGTTTGTAGTGACTCATTATGGATCCAGATTAGCGAATTATTTGGTTAACTTGTGTTACTAAAAACAATGTTTCCCTAATGACAGGAGAGGATGGCAATGGAAACCTAACACCAGAAGCCATGATAGCTTTCATGAACATCGCCTTTCTAATTGCCCTGTTCCTGCTCAACTCAGATCGCATTCAGAAAGCCATTGAGATATGCAGCGAATGTTTGATTTTCGCAACTAACACCGATCGAAACAGCAAAGACCAATTTAATTCACAACTGCAACAATTTTACAGCGCCATCTATGAAGTTCTTTTCAGCGCTTATCGCAGGATCTCTGACTACATAAGTGCGGAAAAATACGGTAGGAAACTGCTTGTCTTATGCAGCGAGTCTGGTGACTTAGTAAAAGAAGGAAATGTAAGCTTAGTTCTAGCAGAGATTTTTGAGAGTCAAAAGAGGTTTACAGATGCCAAACAACTTTATGAAAGAGCAGTTGATATAAAGAGACAAACTGGTGAAAAAACTGATGAAGCAAGCGCCTGCGAAAGATTCGGACATATGTTTTATAAACTTAACGAAAACCAAAAAGCGAAGGAGTATGTTGAGAGAGCCCTTACCATAAGAACCGAAATTGGCGACAAAACAGGAGAAGCATCCTGTTACAGAGGCCTAGGAGTGTTGCTTCAATTGCTCGGTCAATGCAACAAGGCTAAAGAATATCTCCAAAAAGCGCTTGTCATCACAACTGAAATTGGCGACAGAAATGGAGAAGGAGCATGTTATGGAAACCTAGGTACTGTGTTTCAGTTGCTCGGGCAATACGACAAGGCTGAAGAGTATCTCCAAAAAGCGCTTGTCATCACAACTAAAATTGGCGACAAAGAAGGAGAGGCATCACATTATGGAAACCTTGGTACTGTGTTTCAGTCGCTCGGGCAATACGACAAGGCTAAAGAGTATCTCCAAAAAGCGCTTGTCATTAGAACTGAAATTGGCGACAGAGAAGGAGAGGCATCATGTTATGGAAACCTAGGTACTGTGTTTGGGTCGCTTGGGCAATACGACAAGGCTAAAGAGTATCTCCAAAAAGCGCTTGTCATCACAACTGAAATTGGCGACAGAAAAGGAGAGGCATCATGTCATGGAAACTTAGGTACTGTTTTTCGGTTGCTCGGGCAATACGACAAGGCTAAAGAGTATCTGCAAAAAGCGCTTGTCATCACAACTGAAATTGGCGACAGAGAAGGAGAGGCATCATGTTATAGAAAGATAAGTACTGTATTACAGTCGCTCGGGCAATACGACAAGGCTAAAGATTATCTCCATAAAGTGCTTGTCATCACAACTGAAATTGGCGACAGAAAAGGAGAGGCATCATGTTATGGAAACCTAGGTACTGTGTTTGAGTTGCTCGGGAAATACGACAAGGCTATAGAGTATCTCCAAAAAGCGCTTGTCATCAGAACTGAAATTGGCGACAGAGAAGGAGAGGCATCATGTTATGGAAACCTAGGTACTGTGTTTCAGTCACTCGGGCAATACGACAAGGCTAAAGAGTATCTCCAAAAAGCGCTTGTCATCAGAACTGAAATTGGCGACAGAAAAGGAGAGGCATCATGTTATGGAAACCTAGGTACTGTGTTTCAGTTGCTCGGGCAATACGACAAGGCTGAAGAGTATCTCCAAAAGGCGCTTGTCATCAGAACTGAAATTGGCGACAGAAAAGGAGAAGCATCATGTTATGGAAACCTAGGTACTGTGTTTCAGTTGCTCGGGCAATACGACAAGGCTGAAGAGTATCTCCAAAAAGCGCTTGTCATCACAACTGAAATTGGCGACAGAAAAGGAGAGGCAACATGCTATAGAAACCTAGGTTCTGTGTTTCAGTTTCTCGGGGAATACGAGAAGGCTATAGAGTATCTCCAAAAAGCGCTTGTCATCAGAACTGAAATTGGCGACAGAGGAGGAGAAGCATCATGTTACGGAAACCTAGGTACTGTGTTTCAGTCGCTCGGGCAATACGAGAAGGCTAAAGAGTATCTCCAAAATGCGCTTGTCATCAGAACTGAAATTGGCGACAGAAAAGGAGAGGCAACATGTTATGGAAACCTAGGTGCTGTGTTGCAGTTTCTCGGGCTATACGACAAGGCTATAGAGTATCATAAAAAAGCATTCGTCATCATAACTGAAATTGGCGACAGAAAAGGAGAGGCATCATGTTATGGAAACCTAGGTACTGTGTTTGGGTCGCTCGGGCAATACGAGAAGGCTAAAGAGTATATCCAAAAAGCGCTTGTCATCAGAACTGAAATTGGCGACAGAAAAGGAGAGGCAAATGATTACGGAAGCCTAGGTATTGTGTTTCAGTCGCTCGGGAAATACGAGAAGGCTAAAGAGTATCTCCAAAAAGCGCTTTATATCAGCACTGAAATTGGTGATAAGGAAATGGAAGCAGCACATCTTGCAACCTTTGGAAGTGTGTATAGAATGTTTGGAGATTATGAAGCTTCGGAGGTATGCTTGGAGAAAGCTTTATCCATATCCAGAGATATTGGAAATAGAGGAATGGTGTTCAAAATCCTTCAAGAATGCGCCATTTTGTATTTATCACAAGAGAAAACCAGTGACTCCCTTTCCTTTCTTCAACTGTGCATTGAAAAATACGAGGAGCTGAGATATTTCTTGGGCGCCAATGATCAGTTCAAAACATCATTTCTGGAGGACTCAGGAATATTTCCATACAAGCTGCTTTGTACTCTGCTTTGTTACACTGGAAAAATTCGTGATGCTCTTTATGTTGAGGAGTTGAGTCGAGCTAGAGGTCTATCAGACTTGATGGCAGAGAAGTACTCCGTTGAAATGAACACCTCTGCTAATCCACAATCTTGGTTTGGCATTGAAAACATTTTTAGAAAGAGAAATAACTGTACTTGTCTGTACATTTCTTATTTTCAGAATCATCTGCATTTGTGGGTCTTGAAAACAAGTGGAGTCCTTCACCATAGAAGAATATCACTAGAAGAGAATCTAGTTCAGGCTGGGTTGCCCAAAGATTTGCCTTTGAGTAAATTTTTGGCTAATAATTTCCGGAGTCTTGGTATTTTGCCCATTGAAGATTGTGAAGATCGGTCTTTAAATATGGTTGAATTGCAACCTCTCTCCCCTCAACAAAAGAGGTCAGAAAGATTGCGACTCTTGGAAGAGGACGAGAGAGTCATTTCAAGTCTACCTTTGTGTTACAAAATGTTTATTGCCCCCGTTTACGATTTGCTCGAGGAGCCTGAAGTTATTATTGTTCCTGACCGCAGTTTGTACAAAGTTCCCTTTGCTGCCCTAAGAGAAAAGGACGGAACCAAATACCTGTCGGAGACTCATAGGATTCGTGTCATTCCTTCTTTGACGACACTCAAGATGATTCAAGATAGTCCAGAGGACTATCACAGCAACACTGGTGCCTTGATAATAGGCAATCCCGAGGTTGATCGGCTGCCGTCATTGCCAGGTGCAAGAAAAGAAGCGGAGATGGTCGGACGATTAGTGGGTGTTCCGCCTCTGCTAGAAAAGGAAGCAACGAAGCAGGCGGTGCTTGAGCGGATAAGTTCAGTGAGCCTGATACATATTGCTGCCCATGGTAACGCCGAGAGGGGAGAAATTGCCCTCTCCCCCATTCCTACTCCCAACAATCGAAACGCTGTCCCTCCACAGGAAGCTTACATGTTGACGATGGCTGATGTCTCACGAGTAAAAGTCAGAGCTAAACTGGTGGTACTTAGCTGCTGTCACAGTGGTAGTGGAGAGATTAGAGCCGAGGGAGTCATAGGAATTGCCCGTGCGTTCTTAGGATCTGGTGCTCGCTCGGTGTTGGTTGCGCTGTGGGCTATTTCAGACTCAGCAACAGAGACGCTAATGAGTCGGTTTTACGAACACCTTGTTAAAGGAGAAAGTGCCAGTGAATCCCTTCATCAGGCCATGAAGTGGATGAGAAAAAACGGCTTGACCAAAGTGTCTGAGTGGGCTTCGTTTACGCTGATTGGAGATGATGTGAGACTCAAGTTTGACATGCAGAGGTAAGACTCGTTCCGAAAAGATATTTCACGAATCAAAGTTAAATTAAACGTGAAGGTGGTTATGGTTTACTGGTCGCTGACTGTCGGCGGGAATGCTTCGTCACCTTGAATATCAAGGCTAGTTTTCTACGTTTTTTTTGTTTTTGTTTCTAAGAGTAACAATTAACTTTCCCTGTTAGGTGTAAAATATAGAATCTCTGTATTGCTTTAGTTAAGAAATGTTGATTAGTTATTTATAATAATATGGTTTTTATTTTTTTACGTTTTTTTACAGGAAAGAAGACCCCGACGGATGAATGATGAGAATACCTTGAAGGAAACAGACCTCAGAGACTTTTAAATGGATAAACAAATAGAATGATTAGAGGAAATACTCTATCCGTTATTTCATTGTGTAATTCAAGAATGGGCAATCTTCAATTAAGCATAATAATTTCAGTTTTTTGCGTTCTCTTTTTTGAGCTTTTCAGAAGGAGGTATTGTTTATGTATTGGAGAGATATTTATCTCTTTACAAAAATTATCTTATCCGGCCGATATAATTAGCACGAAACATTTTTGACGTAAGGCTCTTATGAAGTGAAATCAGGAAAGTTAAAACAGTAGTTTAAGCATCCAAAACGAGCCTGTTAAGTCTTACAGGGTTTTCTCGCAAAGCCTTTTGTTTTAGGTTTCGTTAACAGAATCCTAAATTTCTGATGCAAAATCTCAACAGAAACCTTTTGTTCTGGTCAGTTCCAGTACTATTTCTGAGTGCTTTAAAACTGAAAAAAGAAGGCTTGGATTTCTAAATAGGACCATGGAAAATGCCATTAAGGTCGAGCATTTTATTACTATAGTATGGAAAAATTACGACAGCAATATTTTGAAACTGGTTCAACAAGTCTCTTACGCATAGTGATGTTTGAGATAACGTATGTTTGCATGGCGATTTAATCGTTTTCAAGTCAGGTCATTGTCAAAATGTTGTTTAAGGAATCAAAATATGTTTTTTTGCCACACTTTACACAATTTGTTTTTTTGCAAACTTTCTTATTGGAATTTGGAGTAATTCCAAAGACGCTAAAATAAAAGACAGCTTGAGAGAAATCTTAGAAAATATCGTGAGTGGTTTTTTAAACCAGGTTACAGAGTAAAACAGATAGCACTGTTGTGCATTGTTAAGGCGGCAAGGTGGCGGGATGAAGGATGCATCTGGTAGGAGTGTCTGCATGCGGTCCACTGACGCTTTCTTGCGCAGAAAACATCAACAAACGCTATGATCGCAAGAAGGTTGTTTTGTTTCTCAATGCTTCTCAGTGAATTTCTTTGATCGTTTCTCCTCAACCCAGGTGACTTGATACTCGTCTTATAATCAAAATAATTCTGGCGATGCAGTTCTGGTGATTAGTATTCTAGCATCAAATATTAATTCCAATACAGGTTATTCAAGACTCCAGAGTAGTTCGGGCTCCCGGTTTATCCCTGGGGTATTAGAACCCCCTCATCAAATCCCTGGGGTTAAAGGCTAAAATTAGCTCGAAAAATGCATTTCCAACGAATCTCTCACACTAATAGAATGCGATGGATTTTAATCTTATTATGGTCAAGAGGTATTTGAGCCTCAAGGAAACAGTTCCTTAAAATTGAGGTAATTTGATATAACTTCTGCCAGTCTTTGAGCAGTTGATCATTAATTGTCACGCAACTATTCCAAAAAAATAAGGTTTAAAAATATCAAAAATATCAAATATCTCCAATTGACAGCATTGTATAACGACAAACATCCCATAACAGGAAAGACTCATCTTAACAATACGTTTCAGAGCAAAAAAATTTTTGGCCTCTGTAAAAAATTCGTGATCACGTCTCTCTGAGATACGTGACCCTTGACGTTAATTTATGCAGTTGTTAGCCATATCTAATATTTATTCACTCACTTTCAATTTGAGAATGGGATCACCGACGCTAGTTTTTGTGGTACTATGTCTAAAAACAACAGATGTATAACTTCCGAGCTACACATACTTTAACGCCACAGTTATTAATACATCAGGATCATTGGACTTCTCAAAAGTGGCACCGACGAATCAGCCTCTTCGGTGCCATAGGAGTCGATATCTGTAGTCGAGATATTGACATCGCTCAAGCATGTCAAGCATTAAGGTATGATTGTCAATTTACTTTTCATTATTTGCAAGCAGCTTATTTCTATCAGCTTTGAAAACTTCTGTATCCCCGCTTTCAAAGAAAAGCATTTCCCAAGAAAATTTTACATATTTAGGACATAAGCTACCAGCAACAGGTTCTTCCATTGTAAGTGTTTCAAAACATCAGGTTCTCGTCACATTGTTTTGTTACATTTGAAAGCATAAGCATATTTTAATCATGACAAAGTAATGAAATCCCCCATTTTAACCCTCTTAGTCCCACTAGTGACCTAGACAGAATTTCTCCTCACACTATCAGAATGATATCAAGTGGGCAAGTAATGAGAATAAAGAAAAATATCAATTAGGGAATTATTGGTTGATACAATCCCAAATTCTCCAAAATAACATCACATAAATTGTATGACAGACAGTAAGGAGAATTACTGATGAAATCTTGAGAGTTAAAGGGTTAAGACACATATGGTAATCATATGTACGAGAAAGACAGCAAATAAATATAACATTATACTCCAGTAAAGTGTTCTTATGTAGAATGAAGTTTCAAACTCATTGAAATTAAGTTGATTTCTTGATTCAGATTTTAGTTAAAGAAATGTGTAATATCTGTTTACAAGGATGAAAAGGAAATGCCATTTATGAATTTGAAAAAGGCATATCTATTCACTGAGGTTTTACTCATAAGCTGACACACACAGATATAAAAGAGACTTTGTAAAAAAAAAAAACCAGGACAATAAAATTAAAGATTCGGGAGAAGCTTATGACAAATCATTTTATTGATGTTCTCAACTGAATTCAATCTGGAAAGAGAACTCTGCAATACTTCTGTTTTATCTTCTCACACTTTAATTAAAACATAAAAATTTAATTATTTGCAGGCAGGTTACGGAGGAAATTGAAGGAATGGATGTATGTTACATAAAAAGAAACCCCTTACAATAAAATAAAGCAGAAGCATGTTACTTTAATGTCTGTGCATCTGAATACAGCTTTAATAGGAATTTTTTTTAAAGTAATTATCCACATATCGAAACCGGGTGCAATACACGGTCGTAAAAGCAATTATATTCTAACCTTCCTCCTTGAAGGGTGCCTTGTTTATCAAATATATCAAGTTCAGTACTGCCAGAGTCTTAAGGCGGGCTTTTGGGGCTACAAAATAATAAAATAATCAACGAGTTATGCTAGGCCAATTTATCGAGAGTCAACTAAGTGGGATTTCCTAAAATCGTATTAAGTTTAAAAGGTGCATCACTTGTGCTACAAATACGGATTTATCGTTTTTAATTATTGATAAAATTCCGTGGGTGTGACTCAATTAATTCAAAAGAGAATATCCAAGCAGGTTACAGAAATGTTCCACGAATTGTAAACTGTTAATGTATTGACAAAACTTCCCTAAATTATGGTGCTGATACGAATTTATCGTTCATAATCGCCGATGAAATTCCGAGATTGTACCTCAATGAATTCAACAGAAAATATCTAGGAATGTTACTGAAACGGACTCTCAAAAATTGCTCTTGAATTCGAAAACTGTAAACAACAATTATTTATGCTAACCACGTGCTTACCAGCGTGCTTGTGAGGTCAAATTTCCAGGACCCCGTTGAATTACACGATTACAGCTCGGACGCATCTTGCAAATTGTGACGACTATCAGTTTCAGAGATCGATTCTTAAGTTTCCAGCATTAGGAAAAAATTATCGTATCGCAAGCATGTTCATCATAACCCGAGCATTAAGTACGCCTCGAGATGTTGAGCGAAGAGAAAGTGGCTCCATGTTTTGTGAGACAAACCATTTCCTGAAGTTGGTAGAAAGCATGAAAACATAGCGCTGAAAAGTACTCGACAACCAAACAATGAAATTCATTCATTTCGCTGTAGCACTACCTCCATTTTACCCGTGAGTTTGTTTGCACCACATATTTGTGGTCCGTAACCTAATTCTTAAATGTTTGACGGCATGCTAAAAGTAGCACCTTGTACGGACGCCCGAATGGTCATAAGTCCAAATTTTTTCGGCTTGATGGGTTACTACTATTTTGTGTAATTATGCTGCGAGCTCCACTATTATGACAATAGATTCAAAGAAGCAAAAAACGACCTCAAATTAATCTGGAGACTGATTAACGAAACTATAAACAAGAGAAAGAGAAAGCCCTCTTTACCCTCGTCATTTGATACGGAAGGCAGGACTGTCACAGATCCCAAAGAAATCGCTGGCAATTTCTTGAAACACTTTTATAATCTAGGTCCCAACCTGGCAAAAGCTTTACCTACGGTAAACTATTCTTTCCGTTCAATCTTTTCTGATAATAATAATACACCTTTAACTCTGTATTAAAAATATGTTATTAGAAGTTTTTGTGTGTAGTATTGCTGAGTATTTTAACGAGCTTGTAAGGCGAGTCAACATACAAAGAACGAGTAAAAATACTGATGTCGTTTGAAACCTTTCATCTGACCTACACAACCGAACATGCTACTAGGATAGGTAATTCTGATTGATCTACACAGATTTTTGTGCAAATTTCAATACACTGCCCAGGAGATATCAGCCACGTGTACACATAATGAGGCTGTTTTGAAACAAAAACTGTAGCTCACTTTGAGGGGCTTATTCTTTGCCTCCTTTCCCTGCCGATTTACCTCTGTTCCTCTCCAATTCCTCCTTGATAGTAATCTAAAGGGGACACAATTGCAACACTATTACTTCCCAAGTTTAGCGACTGCGTATGGAATTCAGTTGCTTCTGTAAAAAAAATTCACTTTCGAAAAAAAAAAGGCTAAAGTCCAAACTCTGTAGAAAAGATTTATTAAACTTGTTAAATGAACCACAACAGTTGACTAAAAATAAACCTCAGAAACTTCGTAAAATTCCAAATAGAGGAGTGACAAATTTGCGGGAACAAAAGTTAAAAAAAAACTGACTAAACTCCGTTAAAACACAACAAAATTACGAGAAAAATGTTCACTTCAGTTTTTTTAATATCAAAGTTAGAGTCGTCGTGATTAGCTAATTTGTGAAATCACGCGCGCCGCGCGTGAATACAAAGCGAATACAAGGGGGGAGAGGAAGAGAGAAATTGTAATTTGAGATTTTAAAGCGAAAGAGATTTTCTACAGTTTCTTTCATCATTTAACAAAACAAACTCCTCCACCTTAACAGTGCTCTTGTGTTCTGCCATAAAGCCACATATAATTCAAAGATATTTTGAAAACACCACCTTGTGGAGTTTGAGTTTGGTTAAGCTATCGAGAGTCAGTTCGAAACGCTTCCTCTATAATCCAACTTTAATAAATATCATAAGATTTCACCAGAGAAAGTAGCCTCTTTTACACGTTATGCGACTGTTTTAAAAAAAATTCATTTTCGCGAAACCTCGTCAGGATTAAGGCAGACTGAAGAATAGGTCTATTGAGCTGTCCTCATGGGTTCCTGAGTGTGACTCAATTTATCGAAAGTCAGCTCGGAACACTTTCACTGTAAAGTTAGACCTCATCCAACTTCAATAAGCACGCAATACAACAACCCGAGCTCAATCTCACTCTTACCTTATGCGGAGGGCTGAGCAACTTCCTCTAAGCTGTCAGGCCATGTGAGGTCTTCAAACAAAAACAGCTCCTAGATTTTTCATACTTAATAACTACACGGGTTTCCTGAATCTCTCTACCTAAGAAGTGTAGCAGCTTAGACTACGAGGAACCCAACAATGATACAACGCGGATACAAGGTCGAAGAAAAGTTTCGGAAACGAGATTAAACCTAATGAAGGATTACAAATATTTTTGATGCATATTTGCCACTTTGCTAAGGAAAGGAAAAACGAGCTCAGCAAGAAAAAAGAGTATGTTGAAAATGTAGGGAATGGGATATAATCCTTTTGCAATTTGACCAATCTCACTTGCAAGCTAGGAATTTCTGAGAAAGGAAAACATCTAGTTTAAGCCTCTGGGCCCTAGGAGTGACTAGCATCTAATTTCTCCTTACAAAGTCACCCCTGAGTTGCACATTAAGGTCACGACAATAAAGGAAATTATCGCTAACTAGAAACGCTCTTGATTGATAAACAAATTCTCCTCGTCAGCACCTTAACAAATGTAAAGAGGACATTATGGAGAATATACGTACTGATCTTAGGGTGTAAAGAGTTAAAACAATAAAATGACGTGTTGAAAAAAGGAAGTAAGGTGAGATCCGCCATCTTAATTTCAAACATAAAAAAGCTCCTGGAGGTGAGGTGAAATTCAGATAGGGGATAAGTAGCAAGAAGCAATTTTAATTAAAGGAGAACTATTCTATGAGGAGCTTTCTTGGGGACTCAGAATGTTTACTTTGTCCCACGCTCGTGACAAGACGAAAAACATCTTTCTCTTTTCCTTTACCGAGCTCAAAGCTTACTCTCTCTCACGTCATATAGTACGTATGCACAGTATGCAAGACGCACGTCATATGAACTTCGTAATAGACCTCGTTCACCGTGAAGTCTGTTTCTCAGTGGTAGAACATCGGAGCGCGGAATCCAAAGGTCTGAGGTTCGTTTCCTCATGGAGACTCAGAATTTTTTCTATATCCCACGCTCGTGACAAGACGGCAAACATCTTTCTGTATTTCTTTACCAAATTAAAACTTACACTCTCTCTTATTCTATTTACATGCAATTTTTTTATTTCTTGCCCCGTTTTTCCAGCTTGAAATCGTAAACATTCACTTATATTGAAGTTTAATTTAAAAACTGATAACAGTAGAGAAAAAACAGTAGAGATTTTGATAACAGTAGAGATTTTCAGAAAGTAAAAATTCCTGACTCAACCCATCGAGATTTTCAACTCGTTTTTAAGGCGCTGTCTTTGACTTCGTGCGGTCGAGCGGGCTTCAGACTTCAAGAGAGTTCTCTCAATCCAAGAGGTGAAAGGTTCTTTTGTATTTGGATCTCCTGTGAACATAATTGTCGATATCCGCTACTCTCCATGAAAGAGGAAATGCAGTTTCAAACACCCACATGTGGTACGATGAAACTGAGTTTTTAGAACCACTTAATATCTCCCCATCAGATCCAGTAATATAAAATCTGGAAAACACGAACGGAAAGAAAAATGGTTTAATACTACAAAACATCAACAAATCTTTTTCCCCGCGAACAAGTCAGAGAAACAGAGAGCCCCGAGTGAAAATTTCGACTAATCTCATATTAACTAACTTCTTTTTTGGCTCAAGGATAGGTCAAGTGAAGCGGAGAGAAGCCATTCCGGTGGAGAACGCAAGGTAACACCATCAATTTGAAAAGAGAAAACTCTTTGTAAAGGCTTAAACATCAATACATAGCTTTGACCTTAGTCTCGTATTTCAGTTAAATTCTACGGTAGGATCTGGGTACGAGATTACTCTGGCCCAGCTATGACGCAGGAGCATTTCTGCACAAAAATAATTAACACTTACGTTTCCTTTGCTCGAAACTTGATAACCATTTGGAATTTTTCAGCAGTCAGCTCTTCGATAAACCTCATGATTGAATCTGGGGAGGATGATTACGGTGCAGGAAAGTAAGAAACGAAAAAATTTTTAATGTCTTAATTCAATTTTTTTCAGATGCATGTGGAAACTCTATTGAGGGTTAACGGGTTAAGGAATATATAAACAAAATATCCCAGAATACTGGATATCAAGAGGGAAAATGAACGTTATACGAAAATATTCAAAACATCGAACATTAAAGTTCACCTTTTCAAAATGAATTAAATGAGTTCATTGATAAATATAGAGGGCCCAAACCGTGACAAAATACTTGCAAATGCGTTTATTTGTCGTTTTCTAACAAACATAAAATCCTTTAGTTTGGCGAACAATTAAGCTTGTTTGAAAAGAACCAATCAGATTCTAGCATTTTGTAAAATAAATTTTCAATTGAGTGTCGAAAGTAATACGGGATTGCTTTGTTTCTGCTTTACCTGGTCGCGCGCGTTTTCCCGCGCTTTAGGCAAATTGGTCGTTTTTCCTTTGAGTTCTCATTGGCTCATAGAAGTATTTTCCTTTCTTCTGATTAGCCGTTGTGATTAGTTTGGTTTTGGTTTTACGACACTCAATCAAAAAGCGCTCTATCGACAAAACTGCACTCAGAATTGGGCTCAAAGTCCTGTTACCAAGAAATCAAAGCCATGACAAAATCAGACAAACAAGCTATCAATCGGTCAAACGTATTCATAAATGAAATCACAAAAGTTAAATTCTTTCCACGAGATAACGAACCCAATACAGCGTGCGTACGTAACACTGTCGGAGAGGGATTTTAAGAAAACCACGACGGCGATGGCAACGGGAAAGTCACTAGACAAACGTCTTAATAAGCAAAACAATGGTTGTGCACATGCGTTATAAATCTTTTTAAATTTCTCTGCGTCCTCTGCAAAACAACAACGTGAAATGACCAAACTTTGCGTTGTCTGGAGAACGTGAGCAACGACGACTAATTTCTTAAATCTCTATCTCTAATTTGACCCTGTGTTCCATATTCAGTTTCGAGATAGTTTTTACAGTGAGAAACAAACTAAATAACTTTAGAGTGTCGCGAGATTCGTTGGTAAAACACAAGTTCATTTTTTAACCGACGTTGTCCACGGCGTCGCCGTCGTCGTTTCTTAAACTCCCTAATAACTGACATGGCCAGTTCATCGTTTTTTAGTGCTCATATCAAGCTTCTGAAGACCAATAGGCCATTTTACAGTTGTGTACTTAGTTGCCAAGCCTTTGATTAAGAGTGAGGCTGAAGGTGACCTTGCTGTGATAGAGACCAGTATCTAGTTAGCATGATAACAAAGTAATATACATTTGAAAAGCGGCAAATTTTGTATCATAACGAGGTCATCCTTGGCCTCACTCTTGTTCAAAGGCTTGGCAACCAAGCACACAAATGTAAAGCGTTTCTTTGTCCGCAAGAAAATAGCCCTTGAGCAACGTGAAGTGGTGAGAAGTCTGCAAGGGGCCTGGCACTGATTATTATTAGTGCCAGACCCTAGGTAGGCCTCTCCCCAACTCGTCTCCAATCTTCCAACGGGCGGAGACCTTTAGCAGTGAGGACGGCAACGCCAAGGAAGACGTTGATTTAAAAATGAACATACATTTTCAAACAAAAATAATTTGCCACCGGGGTTTCCTTTCTCAGACCACGCAAATTTTGATGATTTCAAGTTGTTATTTCGCAGAGGACGGCTACGAAATATACAACGCTTTAAAACGCACGTGCTGAGCTGTTATTCTGCTCATTGCATTTTTTGTTTTGCCACGTCCTCGTTGCCGTCGCCGTCGTGGTTTTCCAACAGCATGCTCGCACGCTGATGTCACGGCTGCTAGTAGGGGTAATGCGACTACCCACTCAGCAGAGTTTTCACTGTGTTTAACCTGACAGAAACTAACCGGCGTTCTCTATTGTTTCGTAGCCAATAGGAGGAATAATGAACTGTTGACCGACAACGCTGAAGAGATAGCACTCGCTGTTTGGCTCTAATGGACCTTGCACTCTCCGAATACCTGCAACAAAGTAAAGCAGATTTATAATTCTAAACAAATTTGTTCTGCCAGCTTACAGAAATATGTTCTCTCACAAGGCTAAAATTTTGCGGCCGCTAGGTTGCCGGTGGCAAATTTGATGGAAACAGCTGGGGCCCGTTTCTCAAAGGTGCTGGTAACTTCTTGGGTCATTAAGGATGTTCTGTTTTCATTCAAGATGGGGGTTTCAAAAAATGGGCCCCAAGGCTCCCCCTTCCTTAAGCCGCGTAAACTACGCCGACTGAATTTTTTTTTTTTTTTTTGGGGGGGGGGGGTACTTTTGATGCCAAATTCTCTCCTTATAGATCGCCAAATTGAATTAATGTAATGAACACTTAAAGAGGAACTTGATTTCATAATTGCCTTTGTTTTGAGTTTAAAGTAGAAAGAGTTCTGTTTTGTTTCCTTGTCGAGTTTACGCCCTTATTTTCCACATATTATTCACAGTTTGAATCACTTACAGGTGGCGATATGTGGCTAGCATTCCTAAGAAACCAGTTTACAACTGTATACCCTCATAATGGTACGCCCCTTGAGTATCGAGGAAGTTGAAGAGACCGACGGACTTAGATCAGAGTTTTTACAAGTTTCACTAGTTCGAGTTACGTAACATAAGAGTTTCTCTAAGCCCTTAAAGACAGGATCAGACGAACGTTGTAGCCTATCGTATTTAGTTTCGTTTTTCTTTCGATTTCGCTTCTTTTGTAACTAGCCTCAGCCCATCTTTTAATTTTGTGCATTGTAATTTCGCCTTTTTAAGTTTTCTCCGCACGTGTGTAATATTCAGACGAGTTGGCGATCGCATGAGACGCTGCTGAATCAACCTGTGTTGTCAATTTCTACATTGTGGTTGACACTTTCCGAATTCCAATGCAAAAAAAACCCGTGTCCGCTGCACTGGGTACGTGACACTCATCTTTTGAGGACAAAATAATAATAGTTCTAGAATTTCTTTTCTTTATAAATGGGTACAACGTGTTCACGATTGAAGATTGATTCGGAGTAACTGATTCTGCTTTCGATGTGCGCCAGTCATTTAAAGCCGTTGAATGATTAGAAATAATCTCCGAAACCAGTGAACCACATAGACGACAGGAGAGGCCATTAGCGCAAAGCATGAAGGGAAAAAAAATTCTCGGTCTGACACTTAAAAAGTGAAACTTATCTAAAATTACCTATTACGCTGAGATTGGACACATCTGTCACCTCCTTCAAAGAAAATAAAGGCAAAATTACAGAGAAAATTAGTTCTGATAAAAGTGAAGAATCACCTACCGGATTTTCTGCTTAATTGGGAATTACGATCACTTTTTCGGGCATTGCAGCGCATTTTGTTGGCTAAAATAAAGATTTTGGCGACTAAAATGTATTTACGCCCCCTGGCACGCTCACGTTAACGTTCGGACTGTCTTGGCATCATTTTTCAGTTTAAATTTTCTCAATGCTTTCCAAAGTGATAATGATAGCATTATCGTTTATGTTCTTGGGCATAAAATTAATGTTTTTTGCCCTTCCCAGAGTCATTTCAACTCTCGCCTAGCGGCTCGGGCTAAAAATGACCTGGAGTCGGACTGAACGAAGGTTCAGCAGACTAAGAATAGAGATAAATAGACTAGACAGTATTCAGATTCCAGCTGGATCTTGAGTTCACCTGCATGCTTCCTTTCGTGTGTCCTAATAAGGGCACCCAACATGGTGTTCCAATCCCGTCATCCTAACCGACGGCAGAGCGCTTACAAATGAGAGTCGTATAACCAAGACAAAAGCAATCATAACAGCCAATCGCATCGATGGGAAATATCAAAAGGAGCCAATCAGAACTCACACTAACAACAAATTAGCGCAGGAAACGCAAATGACCAAGAGTTAGGTTTTGTTTTAGCATCTGATTGATTGAGAGGATGGCACAAGTTTTCCAAACAAATCAAGTAGGGCAAGACAAAAGCAGTTTCATATCAAATTGTCACATTTCTTTTGGATCTCTCACTTGTTAGTAAAAAATGCTTAAAAATCAGTGAAATCAAACTCACCAGATGCAGCTTACAGTTGTGTTCTAAAATAGCTTTGAAAGCTTCCTTCAGAAATCTATCCAGTCTAGAACCTAAAAGAGCAGAGAATTTGAGAAAAAATTAATTAAAATTAATTAAAATCTTTGGTCTATTTGACAATATAGATCATTACAACGATAAATGATTTTACATCCAACAAGTGCAACAGAGACAACTGCTTAACAAATAAAGCTATTTCCTTTAGTAAATTAAAAAAAGGCAATTGTTTTGCTGAGGTCTTCAGTGCTTGGCCTTTTCAATTACATCTGTGAATATATGAAAGTCATATATTTGAACTGCGGATAAAAACGTGAATATATATGACTTTCATATATTCTCAGTCGTTTATTTACCACTTCATGGGTTTATTTGAAACCAGCATGATGATCAGCTCCCAGTTGGCTTTTTAGCTCTGTTGGTAGAGCTCTGCACTAGTATCGCAGAGATCATGGGTTCAAATCCCATGCAGGCCTGAATTTTTTTCAGGCCTTGCTTTCACTAGTGTTCATCACTGCAAAGATCACTTTCATATTCACGTCTTTATCCGTATATAGTTCAAATATACGACTTTCATATAAAAGACGTGAATATATATGACTTTCATATATTCCCAGTCATTTTTTCGCCACTTCACACGTTAATTTGGAACCAACATGCTGACCAGCTCCCAGTTGGCTTGTTAGCTCAATTGGTGGAACACTGCACCGGTATCCCAGAGATCATGGGTTCAAATCCTATTCAGGCCTGAATTTTTTTTCAGGCCTTATTTTCAGAACTGCTCCAGTGGTGTTCATTACTGCAAAGATCCCTTTCATATTCACATTCAAACAAATTGCTTACCTAAAAGACCACTCAGATTGTTTTTGGGATCCATCTGACCTATCAACTTGCTGACTATCATGACACAGTCCTGAAACATAATAAGGACTGTTTTACTGCAGAAATCAAAGGTTACATAATTTTCACTGTTGTAATATGTACCATGTTTGTCATAAAGAGATGGCTGATGCCTTTTTAAATCAGAATATTTAACCTTATTTTGTCAGTAAACAGTGATGTCCAAAAATGTGCCAATATCTACAACTAAGAGATTTTGTAAATTTCAGTTTAATCTGGTACAATCAGTTTTCCTTCCTCCATTTTGGAATCTTCTAAGCCCTCCAGTATTTGCCTGCATTTAAACAGACAATTCTGCTACAAAGTTCCTATTATTTCTGTTAATCTTAGAAAACAATCAGAAGTGTACATAAGCTGTTTCACTTTGTGTTTCAGAGGAAAAACCAATCAGATATAAGAAAGCTATACTGCAAACAGCAAAGGGTAATGAATATAAGTTTGTAGTTTGACTGGTTTATTTGTGTGTCTTTAACTCTGCAGACATACAAAGACCCAAAATCGGGTACGAATTGACTGCATTTCAGTACCAAAAAACTGGGTATAAAATGAAAAAGGTTACCAAATGACCAGATACCAAGAGGAATGCCAAGAACACTGCATCTTCAGTTATGATACTCACCTTAAATGACCTCATGTAAGCCTTGCCTGACTGTTGCCTGCAAATAGTTGAAAATGTCACTTTTGACAAGTCTAATTCAACATCAGGCCATCTTACTACAATTCAGGACAGGTATTTTTTGATAAAAAAGAAAGTTTTGAAAATCAGCACATACTCAATTTGGTGCTAGATGATTTTATTAGTTGTACTTTACATATAACAATGACAATCAACATATGTGTAATTTTTTCTTGTCATTTAAAATAAAACTTCAAATTTTACATTTCAGGCTCACATACCCATAGGTTAGTCTAAAAAGTAAGGCTCCAAAAAAACAGTGGTCACGAGGGTCTGCGGGGTAAATGTCTGGAAAAGACAAAATACCAGCATCAAACTTCAGTGCTTAACAAGGAGGATAAATGGATTATTGTATTTGGAAATGACTAAGGATTAAAACTGTTGCTTTTGACTCTGCTAATGATTGCAATTTCTGATTTCCACTGGATTAGAAGTGATTTTACCATTCCACATAGAACTCAAACTGACACTCCCACCATTAACATATAAAATGGACACTGGACCAAAATTTGTGTCCCTTGAAATGGAAGATTCCTCTAAATTAAAGCAAGGTACCTATTAGGTATCAGCAATTGGAAAATTCTCCAAGTATATTTCAGTGACCTGAGCTGATTTGAACTCAGACACGGAAACATTTTCCTGTTACCCAAACCTACTCTCCTACAAATACATTTTCCTAGGGAGTAACACAAAAGAAAGGTTCCATTTTATTGTCACCTGACTAGTTTGTATCCTAAAGTTATTTTAGAAGGCTGCCTTCTAGGACAGCTGGCTAGGCATGCTATTAAAATTGATGATTGATTGATGATTAAATTTGGGTGCAAGTTCACTCGGTTACTTTCAGTCTTGATACCTTTAATTAACCATTTAACTCCCAGATCAAATTTGTCATTCTCCTTACTATCAAGCATACAATTCTTATAATGTTAGTTCAGAGAATTTAGTATTGATGCAACAGAATGAAAAGATCTAATTAAATTACAACCCAATAGAAAAAATATACTTTAGATAAATATCGATAAGATGTAATTGAATGACACATCTAAAATCTGCTTACAGACCTGAGCTGCTTTGATTCCAGGGGAACGAATTGAAAGCCAAATGTCGAGCCATACACGCATTAGGCTTCAACATAGTTTTCAGTAGCCTTTTATTTGGTTTAATGGTTAATGCCGAGCCTCCAAACTGTGATAGACATCGTTGAAGTTTGGTACCGGTAAAAGCCGCCATGTTTGTTATTATTCCAGAATGAGATTAAACAATCATGCATACATATAATAATACATAACTATCGCCAAATACCGCTGACAAGAAGCCAACCGACCTTGGGCCCGAGATTGAGGCAGTTCCGGAAAGTATTTCCGGTATTGCTCGTTGTACTTGTGAGAAGACAGAGTCCACAAGAATAACCGAAAATAAAAGCAAATTTAGTTGGACGAAATGAAGGAGAATTTGTTTCATATCATACTTGCTAAGAAATACCCTCAGAACAGGAGGCTTTTGCCATTCCACCCCCTCCCGGACAAAGAACGTTTTTCCTTAGGGATTTGTTGTAAGCTATTCCCTCAACCCAGTCTCTTGAGGCCAGAAGCCGTTGTTGGGAGGTAGTGGTAGTATGCATATTTCGAGAACATGGCTTCGTGGAAATGTACAGGTTATGTTATTTTAGGTATCACAATTGTTGTTTTAATAATTCTCCTCAATTTCGATTATTTACCGAAAAGAAGGTTATCTGAAGAGCTAGAGCTAACCACAAAAAGTAGTTACAAAGAATCCATTTCGACCGGACGACCCACCGAAAGAACGGCCACAGGTGACACAGCGAAGGTGAGGCTATTAAAATTGCATGCTGAGTTTCTTATTTGGTATTTTGTCGGTTTGATAAGGCCGAAAAGTTTTTAAAGTAAAATTACGATTTATGTATTACGAGAAAGCTTTCAATTTTAAAATTATTTCCCAGAACTTTCCTAATAAAGGGAGTGACTGTTTAAATAGATGCCAAATTACGTTGCAACTCTGTCAATTCACGATAGAGTGGTGGAACAATAAGCTTTGATTTCGATGTAAGCTTCCAAATATACGTTCAAGATACACTCGTTAAATTTTTTAATTTAAGTTTGATATCAAGGGCTTTTTAATTCCTCTTTTTTTCTCAGATTTTAGAATACTTAAATCTATTAATTATGAAACAGAAAAGTGTTTGTGCATGAAAATATTAAAAGCGTGCGTGCACATTTATTTTGCAAATTTTGTACGTCTCTTTTCTAACAGAGGTATAAGTGTACTTGGCTTCGTGGTTATGAATTACGTAAAAATTACTTCATTGAAAGAATTCAAGTCAATGACAAAATGAAAACGAAACGTAGTATACACGTTGTATTGTTGCAATCGCTGCTTCCACCTTTGAGCTCAAAGTTCGTGTTAAATTTAATTATAACCTCTGGATTGTTTTTTTTAGGATGACGATGGAAAACTCTCAGTTGAGCAGTACAAGAAACAAATAATGAATTGGAGTTGCTCTGAAAAGTCTTCCTCTCCAATGGTAGTTATTTATGAACGTGTCTCCAAGACCTAATGCATTTAGTTTTTTGTATATTTTTGGTATTATCAAGTGAGACTTCTACTTACGATTTAAATGTGTTTTTTTTCATGATGTAGGACAATTTGCCTGAGCTAACATTTGATGATGTAAAAAATTTTGATTGGAATTGTAGTGGTTTCCCTTCAACACCACAGGTACAGCATATATTTTGTTACTCGTGCATTTCTTACTTTTTATTATAAATCTACTCTAGTAAAAGGTGACAAAATTATACAGACGTCACATATGACAGATTAAGATCCAAAGAGACAAAAATATGCATCAGGAATTTAATTTCTGTCCATTTCTTTGGTGTTTTGAAAGAATTTAACTATTTGTTTAGTACTTGTTTGGTGTATACTTAAACAACTATTTACCTCCGCTTTGGTGAATAATTGTTACCAGTAATTTCTATATCTCTCAGTTAGTATGTGCACTATGATTTATCCATGTAGTGGGTCATATTTCACTGTACAGCCCACTTAAGTCAAATATTTGTTTGAAATGAAATCTTCCCCTTCTATTTGAACCCAGAAATATAACCAATATCTTACTGACCTCATTTTCTCAATCAGTACTGTAAGTTACTTAATAACCTTTCTTTTTAGTTTTTCAGACCTGAAATCAAATTTCACACTAACCCTGTTACCTTAACCCAGCTTTGAACAACCAGGATTTATGGCCCATTTATGGCCCATGTACCTCACACTTAGGCCATAAATCCAAGCAAAAAAAACTTGGTCTGTAACTTACAGTACAGACCTGGAACTCAGTTAGTAAAAGGTATATATTTATTGTTAAGAATAGAGCATTGGCTCTATCCTTTTAAAAATATTGCATTGGAAACTCTTCTATCTGGTTAAGATCTTTAACAAAGTGTTAAGGAGAAATTTAAAATAGCATTGCATTACTCTTAGGATATCTCCTCATTAAATTTTATTTTACACAGGAAACAGATGATAACGTCACAACAGCAATGTGTTACAATTATAATGATGTAAGTTTAGACTAGATAATACCTGCTTTTAAACTCAACTTGCAGAAATGCTGCCGTAACCTCAAGTTCTGACCTTAAAATAAGTTAAAAAATGCCTTTCTTTCCAAACAAAAAAATTGAAGACAACTTTTGTGGTGTTATATATGTAGGTAATAACATGATTTCAAATGCAATTTTGTGTTAGTAAGCACAAGTAAATTTTCAAAAAGACAATAAAATTGCATGCATGAGCCTGTAGGGCTAGTGGCAAGTGCGATTTGTAGTCATCAAAAGATGTATAAGTGCTTATTGCACCAAATTGCGTGAGAAACAATGTTCTTACTTGCTAATAATGTACATGGAAAACATCACAGAAAATCAAGGCAAATGTAAATTTTTGCAGCGCACATGCACTATTTGTAATTTACACTCATGTTACAACTCTGTACTCATGTTACATGAGATTACATTTGTTTTCAGCCACTCAGAAGCGCATAATTTTTTCATGTACAGTAGAGTGAAAAAACTCTTCTTGAAAAGTAAATTTATGATGTTGATAAGTTAGGTTACCATGACAATATTGACATCCACTGTGAAAATGTAGATGGTATACTCACTGTGTGTGCTAAAGATACAATGTTTTTGAAACAAGATAAATTCTGGCTTTTCATCAATATCTATGTCAGTAATAAATATTTATTGTTAAATTTCCAGCCTTTCATCTGTGTGGGTGATCCATTGCATTGCCAATACAAGGACCTCAGGTGGGCTCTGATCACATCTTTATTTTTGAAAAAAAAAATTAAAAATTAGTTTGCCAAGAAATTAATACTGTTCACTTCTGTAGCAACTGTTTCCTTTCTTGTTACTGTATTCAAAATGAGAGAAAAATAATTCAACAAAGGGAAGAGGAAACAAGAAACAGATAAATTATATTAATAAATGTCTGGTTTGAAACTGACATTTTGTAAACTTACTCAACAAGTTTGGCAAGTGTTTCTTTTCACAGTTTTCATCATACTGTAGCAAATTGGGCATTGTTCTGTTAGACTGATATTGTTTTAAATAAATTTCTGTTTCTTTTCCATATTATATCCATATAAACAATGAACATCTGAATGGTGTAATATATGGTTTATTTTTACTAGTGACAAGAGGTATAAAACAAGACCCAAGTACGGAGAGTACAAGTATCTTCCCAAGTCATTATGGTTAAGTGTTGTTTTGGTATGTATAAGCACCTATAATAAATAGTTCTCAAATTTATGAAAGTATCAGTTGCTTAGGATATGGGTAATGAAATAAATGGAAAGAGGTATTTTGAATTTGTGCCATTTGGTTCGGTTTTGTGAGTGTTTTGCCCACCTTAATAAATAAGAGTTTTCACTATAGTGTAAAATTTCGAACATCAATATAATCCTTCATGTGCCATATTTCCTTAAACAAGCACCTGGGGGCTAATTTAAAATTTTGGTCTTAGGGGAAGTGCTTAATGGAACACATGCACTCGATTTAGGGGGGCACTTATTAAGTTAGCACAGCAATAGAACAAAGATCAAAAGATCAGATAACCTATATAGAGGAACTCTTCAAGCACATGGAGATAGAAATAGCTCAAATGGAAAAGAAACTATTCTTTTTTGAGGCTCAAAAAGTTATAAAGTGGCAATATAAACAGGTTCCCCTTACATCCCGACTATTTAAGAAAGTGAGGAAGACAGGGGGGTGTTATTTGAGGGGTGCACTTGTTTGAAATTATTGCCTAGTGGATGGGTGCTTTTTTGAGGGCAGGGGCTTATTTGAGGAAAAGCAGTAACTGGCCAAATTTGGGGAAATAATATTTTTCAAATGATGTGATGTTTTAGGTTAAAATATTGAGAGAATTGCTCGATTGCTTGTTGTTACAGGCATTGTCAATGAACTGGGACTTTGTTAGAGTTTATTATGTAAACTAAGATGATTTACAAGGATTTCCAATCCTTACAAAAGCCATAAATACACATTCAATGACTATAATTTTTTTTTTGGCCAATGAGCTGCTGACACATCATTTGCCCAACATCACTCAGTCAGATTGTTGAATTAATGGCCACTATTAATTCCATTTGATATTTCCTGAATTCCAAGTGCCTTTAGACAGTAATAAGAATTACTACAGGTGGTAAATTTTAGTGGATAATACTGAAAGAAGGAAACTGTATTACCCTCCAACAGTTGAAGAAACAAGCTTGCAATCTCCTTCCTGAAAGAAAAAATCTTTGGGAATCATGATGATTGAAAAGTTGAAAATGTTTGATGATTTGGCCCTCACTGATTGAAACAAGGTTTGGTTTCACACTGTGCAGAGGTTACAATTTAAGGGCTTTACAAAGTTAATTAGAGGGTTAAATCCACAGACACAAAACATGAAAATGTAAGATCTTAATTAGATCCTAATTAGATCTTGGGAGTTTGACTCTAATGAGGTGGTGGCACTATTTTTACTTGTAGCATGGGGGAGTAGCATTCCTTTACCACCCATGTGCCAGTACAGAGCAAAAAATGAAGCTACGCAAATTGGCAACCAGTTGTCTACAACGGCATGTTATTACACCTTATGAGAGACTAAATCCATGCAAGGTGAGTGGTCAAATTTGTTATTGGTGTTCAGTAAATTAGAGAGTAACTCCTTTGTTAATCTTTCTCCCATGAGTGACCAAGACAGAATTTCTCCTTAAAATATCAATACAATATCAACCATATAAGTGATGAGAATTAAGAAAAATGTCAATTTGGGAATAAGTAGTTGATCCAATACTAAATTCTCTGAACTAACATAAGAATTGTATGGTTGACAGTAAGGAGAATTACAAATTCGATCTGGGAGTTAAAGGGTTGAGAGATTCAACAGACATTTTATGCAAGAATAGAATAACTATGTGAACATATACCCAGAACCCCATATCTGCAATTGTTGTATGTATGGTTGACATGGTCTGGGTCTAAGAGCAAGATTTGGTCAGGTCATTATGTTGTGTTATTGGACAAGAAAAAGAAAATTTCCTCCCACAGTACCTCTTTCCACCCAAGAGTGTAAATAAATGGTTACCAGCTAACTGGTAAGGAGGCGCGATGATATGCATGTGGAGGGGGGGGGGGGGACCCTGCAATAGACTAACATCCAATTCTTGGAAGACTAGCAATACTCCTATTTTCTTATAGAAATGATACAGAAAGGGGGATAAGCTTGCAAATAGACAAAATTTAGTACTTAATTTTATTTATTGGTTGGTGTGCTGGATAGTGAATGGTAAAAGACATGTTTGTGACCCAGTGAGGCTTAGAAGGAATCAGTTTATTTTATAATTTCTCGGCCGATGTTTTACCCTCAAAGTTTCTTTCTTTCCAAATGCATTCTGATTTAATACCCTGGGTAATCTTTGATGGATTAGGATCTTGTTAAGAAAGAGACATGATACTCCCTACAACTTCATAACAAGGAAACTTGGAGAGGTTCTTGCAGTATTGGGCTATTCATTAATGCGATATTTGATTCCTGAATTTGAGAAAATTGGCCAAGAAATTCAAGAATTAGTTTGTCTTATTTGGTGTTGTGTTTGTGTTTGTGTTTCAGCCAATTGTCATGGTAGCATGGAGCTGCTTCTATTCATCATCAGAAGTAGATATTGAAAAAGGAAAAGAGTGGATCAAGCAAAAGGCCATGAAGGGCCCTGCTACTCATGTAACAGAAAATGGGCAATATAAAGATGGAATTAAGAGTCAAGCTGAAACAGTTTCAGATAAGCATGACACTCTCCTCTGTCCTGATAACATAAATGTAAGCAGATTTCAGTGATGTGCTTTGAACATGGTAGTGATGTTTGATTGTGCAGTAATCCTATGGAGGACTGTTATCAGTAGAAGTGACTACCAGTAACCTTACAACAGCCTTAGTGAGCCATCAGTAACTACTACTGTCCTTCTCAGTACTTATTTCACTTGGAGGATCCAACTACACAATCAAATGCTTCCAACTCTGCACCATGAAAATTTTGTGGGTTTTGGTTTTTTTTTAATTTTGTGAATTGTCCTTAGTACCTAGAAACAAGTTCCAATGGGAACAAAAAGTTGCAAAATAAAGCATGGCAAAAATTTACCTCCTTCTCTCCAAAGATTGTAATTGAGACCTAGGATAGTAAACAAGGGTTAGGGTTTACTTGCTGTTGATGAGAAATTGTTACTGACACCCTTGATTACTGTAAATACAGGCGTCCAAGCCATTCTTTCCTCTGTACAATTCCTGACAAGGAGGATGTGTGTAACAGCTTCTCAAGTTAATGATCACTTCCTTGATTCTTGTGACCTTAATGTTTGGATCAAGTCTGATATCATAAGGAGAAATTAGATGCTAATCACTCTTAGGGGTCCAATTGTGAAGCTCTCCACTATTACCTTAAGGTACCATGCACATGTGTCGATGAAGGAATTTTTACCTGAGAGTCTTGCACTCTGTATTTAGAGTATTCCAGGATGATTGGAATTATTTAAAAAGTTCTGTATGTACTGTTTTTTGTTTTTTGTTTGTTTTTTTAATTAGTCAATGATCAAGTCGCGCAAAGGAGAGAGTCAATCCACAAGTGGCATAGAGCAAGATGCATCTCAAGAAAATGAGAGGCAAAGCAGCCAAGGATCTATCTCAATACAAAACACAGAAGAGTTTGTGATAGTGAATGAGAGGGTGACAAGCAACCACAAATTTGATACATCGAATGCAGCATGGGCTCTGGGAAGTGTAATATTTTTATGTCTGGTCCTTGGTGGCGTATTATTCTACACCAGGCCATGGCAAAACAGAGATCACTGGTGGACACTAGATGATTATAACAGTAACACAAAGTTTAGTTTCATGAAAGCAAGAGGCCTTCGATGGAAATCAAGAACACCTCCAAATAAAAGGACAGCAGGGTATTCTCGTTTATTGAGCGCAATACCTGAAGAATTTGAAGATGACATTTAATACAAAAATTTATTTATTTGATAATAAGTTCCTTTTAGTGGACATCAGAAGGTATTTAGTCACATGTAACATAATTCAGGGTCTTAAGTAAGCCAAAAATCTTATAAGAATCATTATACTTTCTCTGTTTACATAGATCTAGATACCCCAATATTCAATGCACTTTTGATATATTATTATTTATAATAAGTATATACCTCACATGTGAATAGTTCTTTTGGCATGTGCTGATTGGCTGATTTAGAAGAGATTAACTAGTACTGTTCACCTCCCAACGGCCAAAGAGACAAAATTGTAGGTCAACAATTTAATTTGCAACCATCTTTTGCTATATTAACAGAAATAAACTGACTTTTTGGGGTTTTGTGTGATATATAACAAAACAATGTTGGGGTGAAAGTGCTGGATATTTATTGTGCAGCTTAGTAAATATCTACCACTTTGCACCTACATTTTGCTGAACAATTGTTCATTTTTACTCCTGGTGTGCATACATTTGAAGTATGTTGGCTATTTTTATATTAATTCTGAGATCCATTTTGGGATTGCTTTGGTATGGTGTAATATTTTCTATTCAATTTGTTTAAAGTTGCATACTGATACATAAATAAAGGATGGGTCCATGCAAAAAAGTAATTATATTCTTTAGGCTTTCATAATGGTTGGGAAAATTGTACTTTTGAAGGTTTAGGAAACATTCAATCAGTGATAATTATGATATTAACATTATGGACAACTTTTCATATGAAATTGTTTGCTTACTAGCACCATTTTTATGTAAAACTTCCCCATTGTAGTTTGGAATGGGTAGAAACAGCCTACTTATACAATTTGTTTTTTTGAAGGTATACAAGGTAAGCTGTGTGAAACATAAACTACTGCTGTAAATCGTTTCACAGGTAAACAGAAAATACGTACAAAATACAAACTTTGTTGAAGATTTAGTTTGATTAAAAAAAAAAATTTTTTTTCCAAGAACTGTTTTATCTCTGGTTGTTGTACAATTTGTGGTAGTGCTAACTACCATAAAGGGAGAATTGCTGAGTTTTGAGGTCATTGTACACCCTCTTTTACAACAAAATATTGGAGAATATGAGAAAAAATGTTTGTTGTAATGTGTGGAAACAATCAAAGTGTGAATGTACGGGAACTAATAACATATATACCACTAACTCAGTTTGAGGTCGCTATTGTTAGTTACGGACCCGGTCTTTTTTTCATGGCCATAAAAAAAACAAGCCTCTGTCATGTATAGTACGGACTTTGTGTGTAGTTGAAGGAAGGAAGCTGCACATGCACTCTTGGTCCGTTGCAAAGGTAGTGAGGGCAACTATTACATTTCATACGTATTTTTGATCACTAAATTGTTAATCGTGTGGTGGCTATATTAACATATTTCGCCATGTAATCATTTTAGCTGTTTGAGGAAAATAATTTCCCAATTCTAAGTTATTTAATAATGGTAGTGGGAGTGAGTGAAGTCCCATTTGGTCCGTAATCATACAAGTGATTACAAAGTTGAACAACCATGAAGCAGGAGTCCCATTTGTTGATAACGAGTTTGAATCATAGCTATTACATTTTTTAAACAATCTGCTGAAGAATAATTTCTCCCTGAGTTTGCAAAAGTTTGAGAACTCTACACCTAGGAGTAGTATCACAACATCAAGTCGTGTCAAATTCACATGCTATGGTATATAAATTGAATACTCTTGACCAATCAGATTTTCTATAAAGTCCAATGTATTAATTAAAATTATAGCACATGAACATACTTATAAGTTTGGCTACAGAAGTTGAAAGTGTACCAGAAGACACTTATTTATTAGGCTGACATCACCTTCCAAGAGATTCTCATTGAAGAAATTACTATGTAACAAGCAAAAAGAAATCCTAGTGGCTGGACATTCCAGCAGAAGATGAAGATTTACTATAAGATGCTTGTCACCTCACAAGAGATTCAAATGAAGGATATTTCTCTGTATGAATGGGTCAAGAGCTTAAGAAGGAAAGCTATGAATATCTTAATTGAGAGCAAAACAGGTAAGAAGAGTATTGTCTTAAAGGGAATGTCACGACAGATACCTTAAGTACACAAGATCCAGGGAAGGTTGAGAAATAGTAGAAATTTATCAGCACTCCAGCATCACCTGTTGTTGGTCCAATCACAATCTTGAGTATAAATCTACAATATACAGGGTCATTGGGATCATTTTGACAGACAAGTATAAAAAAAAAACTTAAGGTAAAATTTGGATTTGTATCATTTTGCAGATGATTACAAATCTCTTCTCAGAGCATACCCGCAAATCTTTCATAACTCGCACGATTTTTTTCAGATTTGTTGAGGAAACTAGATGAAAAATTTGTAACTCAACTAAAACGGAAGACACCTGATTGTACATCAACAAAAAATTCAACAACAATAGAAAAGAAAACTGGAAATTTCAGTAATTTTGTTTTTCAACTATAATCCACCAGACCAACGTGCGCCTCTATTCAAAATCAGTTGTAGTGAACCAACCCTCGATTCAAACAAAACAGCTGATTTTACTTACTTTGAAAAATAACCCAGATTTCTTTCCTTTAGTGTTCAGTGTCGCTAAAACCGTAACTAGATCCATCAAAGAAGGCAAAATCGATACAATTTCCAATATGGATGGGATTCAAAGCCAAATTTTTCAACTTTGTCGAGCGCGGTGACGCATCTCAACTTGCATTTTAACCCGCCGAACTAAACCAATTGAAAGTGAGAATCAAACCATCATACGATGAATGCAGCCAATTATAATTAAGAAGCCAGTGCAATGATCGCGCCATTGTCTTAAAGCGTTGGTGAGAAAAAAATCAGAGGGAAATTTGAGTTTGCACTAGTACAGAGCATAAAAACTAACAAAGCTTGATATGCAACACAAAGGATAGCTCAGCCTGACAGTGCTTGTTCGAACATTCTTTGTAGCCCGTTTCTTTCAAAAGATGTTTCTGTAAATAACGCCTGTCGTTGGTTCTGGGGCTGGTGGCCAATTGCACTTCAAGCCAATCGCACCGTCAGTTTAGAAATAGTTAAACTATGTTTTGAAAACTCAGATGGCGACATTTTGCAGTCTCTTGACTCGTCAGTCCGCTTGATGGTGTATTTTCATTGATGGAAAATGAAAGCCATTTAACTTGAAAACGTTCGCGTGATTGTTCAGATTTACTTGTTGCCATTTTTTCAGTTTTTATTCTCTCAACGCCCTCCAAAGCGAGCGATAGAAATGCAAAACGGAAGAGGAGGAAGGTCTCTACCGTATTCTACTGCCTCCATTCGCATTGAACATTCCATACACTTACAAGGCCATCAGAGAGTGAAGTTCTACTTCGCCATGTCTTTTTTTTTTTGCTCCGTCTAATCGTGTCTTGACGCAAGTCGTCAACAGAAAAAAGGCACTTACGAGACAAAACTAGTCAAGCTCTTATAGCTCATCGGTAAAAAAAAGTGTTACGTCTTCACAAATGAAATTTTTATTTTAAAAAGTAGATCTTAGCTTTATTTAAATTTATTTGAATTTTTACATTAGTTGGCGAAAGACAAATCTATGTAAAAAAATTGTAATTTAGCGAGTTTAATGCACAAGTGTTCGCTGATAAATCTTCTTTAATCATACATAGGTGCTTTTTTGCCCCATGTAGTCTCAGGTTGTCGACTTTTTTTGTCTTAGCACTAGGCGATTTAAGGGTTGCTCATTCGACAAGCTAAGGAGCGCAGGTCAAATGCCCCGCACTTTTGGCGACCTGAAATCCCGTTTTTCCATTTGTTTTGATCCGTTACCATGGATTTCACTAAATCTGGCAGTTTCCACAGAGACCAACCGCTGATAAAACATGGCCGCGTACCAGGTGGGGGCCTGGAAAAGAAAACAATATGTATTAAAAAGAGTCCAACTATAAACTTTTAACTCGGGTTGTTGACCTAGCGTGAACTAAACAGCTTGGAAAATAACAATTTTGTTTAAAGCTATGCAATCACGGTTGCGTAAGGGCAAAATTTCGGTTATCTCCGACTTCTTGTCATCGCTGGCGCAAAATCGTTCGAATGCGCGCTTATGAAAATAATCTGATTATGACGTTAAATCAGAGGAGATCCATTTTTCCGTGAGGAAAGTAAGCGTCAAAATGCCGATGGTAACATTTTGGCGCACCTTCATAGAAGCTTTACATGCGTTAATATTTTTTGGATATTTTAAAAGAGAAGAAAGGTAGGGCACGAAACTGGCAAAAAATGTCACGATGTTACGACGGAAAACGTACATTTTCTTCTTGTCGAACGGGCCGATCTTGCGCTAAAAAGTATCTCGAAAAAGTAACTCGAAATTCCAGAACTATTACAATGGTTGGCATTTTGAAAACAAAGAAACACATTCTGAACAGAATCCGTTATTTAATGACCAAATTTTAAATCTCAGGGAAAAAACACTAGTGGGGAAAATACAATTCTGAGCTCTAGATATTCGTCCCTTCTTTCTCTACGCTCAGTGACGTAGAAAGAAAGCAAAGATTTTCTTTCAATTCACAGACTTTCCCTAATGCTTCAAAAAAAAAAAAAAAGACACGCATGCACTTTTTGCGTTACTTATGGGTGTTTGAAACAAAATGCGAAAGTTCACGCAGCAAAATTATACAATTTGGACTCAACAATTTACACGAGAGGGGGGGGAGTGAAGAAGAAGAGAGAGGATGTGAGGGGAGGGCAGGGTAGGGGAGATGGGAGATGTTGGGAGAGAAGGGAAGGGTTGAGTTGGTTGGGGGAGAAAAGGGATGTGAGGGAAATAGCAGGAGAGGGGGGGAGGGAATGCTAGCAGGCTAGGGTGAATTAAAACAATTAATTTCTTTACCTTGTAGTGTGGCTGTGAAAAATGAAGTTTCAAACAGTCAAAAGGAAAACCCTGGCCCAAGTGTAACTGACAAAGATAAAACTTTTCAAAATCACAAAAAAATTCCTGACCCAAGAATAACTGACAAAGATAAAATTTCTCCAAATCGAAAGAAAATTCCTGGCGCAAGTGCAACTGACAAACATAAAACTCGTCCAAATCAAAAGAAAATTCCTGGCTCCAGTGTAACTGACAAAGATAAAGATGTTGAAAGTCCTGGCCCAAGTGTAGGTGACAAAGATCATAAAGCTGAAAGTGCTGGCAAGAGTGCAACCAAAAAAGATAAAAAGGCTGGAAGTCCCGGCCCAAGTGGAACCAAAAACGGTCAAAAAACTGAAAGTCCTAGCTCAAGTGCAACCAAAAAAGGTAAAAAAGTTGAAAGTCCTACCCCAAGTGTGGTTGAAGAAGACCATGAGTATAAGAAAAGGTCCAAGATCAAGAAAAAGATAAAACCTAGAAAGCAAAGAAGAAAAGAAGAAAAAAAGTCAGAAAAAGATAAAAAAACTGAAAGTCCTGGCCCAACTGTAGGTGACAAATATCAAAAAGATGAAAGTCCTGACTCAAGTGCAACCAAAAAAGATCATAAAGATGAAAGTCCTGGCTCAAGTGTAACCGAAAAAAATGAAAAAGTCCAAAGTCTTGGCCCAACTGTAAGTGACAAGGATCAAACAGCTGAAAGTATTGACTCACGTGTAACCAAAAAAGATAAAAAAGTTCAACGTCTTGGCCCAACTGTAGGTGACAAGGATCAAACAGCTGAAAATCCTGACTCCAGTGTAACTGAAAAAGATCAAGAAGTTGAAAGTCCTAGCCCAACTGTAGGTGACAAGGATCAAACAGCTGAAAGTCCTGGCTCAAGTGTAACCAAAAAAGATCAAAAAGTCAAAAGTCCTAACCCAACTGTAGGTGACAAGGATCAAACAGCTGAAAGTCCTAACTCAAGTGTAACTGAAAAAGATCGAAAAGTCGAAAGTCTTGGCCCAACTGTTGGTGACAAGGATCAAACAGCTGAAAGCACTGCTTCAA